GGCGGGGGGAGGGAGCGAGCGGCTGTGTGGTCCTCAGTTGCCAGCTGAGGTTAAACCGTAACACCTTGGCTGCAAGGGGAACCAACAAGCGGAGTTGATAAATTCTGTCTGTATTGATAAGTCCACAGAGAAATGTGGGCACCAATCTGTACTTCTGGGCCAAATTTTGGACTTGTACCTTGAAGGCTATTGTCTGAGTCTAGATATGTCTAGATGTCTCCTGCTAACTTTGTGTAGGTCTATGTGTACGCATATCTGTGTATTTTACCCTAGACGAGCACTTGCTGCTATTAGGACTTGGGGATTGGTCTGGCAGAGTCCCATTTTCCCTGCCCCATCTCCAGATCTGCTGGCTGTCCTTCAAGCCAGAGCATTCGCTTGTGCGGGGAGAGACAGGAGCTCAAATCCTTTGTCTTTGAACTGGATCCAAATTCTCTGCTTTCTGGGAGGGTGCTTGGCCCACGGGTTAGAGGATGTGTGAGTAGGTTGCCAGGGGTGAGGGGTGCTCGCAGTGTGGAAGCAGCTGCCACTTTTACGTAAGGTGCTTGGGGTACATTGGCATGAATACCAGACCCTGGGCCTCCCAGGCAGCTGCTGCCCTGGTCAGGCTTCACGCCATTGTCTCCTTGGCCAGCCTGACGGTAAACCAGGATGCTGAATACCAAAGTATTCACAAGACCAAATTCTTTTGCGTTTGCTGTGTTTTCAATAATGGGTAGGCTTTTTGAGGAGGATGTGGAGGCTCTAAGCTACTGTTGCTAAAATGGTTTGCTCAGCTCATCTGCAGGGCAAGGAAGAAGGCAGAATAAATTTGAGGGGGTCATCTGAAAGCCAGTCCAACAGGTAGCTGGGGTTTGTGGTGCCTTGCATCACTGTGGGAGGAATGCCTCTTTCCTGCGGCTAGCCAGGGGATGGTGGAAGGTGTGATGTAGCTGAGCACTGGTTGAACTGTCACAGGAGAAAATGGGGGGGGAGAATGAGAGCCCAGCAGTGAAAGGTTAACCTGTTGACTGCCACCAAGGCATGCTGATTGTGGATAGGAGAGAGGACACCCCCCCGCCCCATACTGAGCAGCACTCCCTCCGAAACAGTGACCCAATCACCCGGCTGAGCAGGCAGGGGTAGAGCAGGGTTGAGAGTGCTCTTGCTTCAGTGCACCAAGAGACCAGCTATGCTCTGGATTATGTACTCGTGGGCTTCACTGAAAGGATTTTCTCCTGATTTATATAGTTTTTACTCTCATTTGCTCGTGCCCCTGCCCTCCCAGAGAGCAAAGCTATAATTAGCAAATAGACTACGTGGGCTCTCTTAAAAACAACCACCTTTTTCTTGGTGCTTTTATGACCTTCTGTCTCTGTTTATTAGAACACTTTCAAATACCGCTTTCTTTCGCCCAGTGTTGGTATGTGTGTTTCAGCTTTACAGTGTCAACATGATGAGGACTGGTTTATCAGGATAGGTTTTAGTCAACAACGGAAACCTTGAAGTCAGCTCCGTGATATCTGTCACGCCTGCTTTTCTAACATAGCTGTTATTTCAAAGCATAAAAGATCTGAAAACTAAAAGAATTACAGCAGAGAAGTATAGGGCCTTGCACACGCTGTTTTCCTTGTTCCTCAGGACATTAGTTGCATGTCTGAAGATCCCTGCCGCTCCTTCAGGAGGTCCGAGTGAACCTTCGGGCAGAAGACAATTCAGCTTAGATGCTGGAGTAAATCCATTTCACCCTTACAACTTCTACCCTTCTTTCCTTCAGTGCATCACATCTGACACTGGGATTGAGCAATCATATCTCTATAACCCAGGAAATTCCAAAACTGAAAGTTCTTAGAGCAATATGTTAACTTTGTTGCTCTGCATATCCTGTACACTTCATTGTGTTAGGTCAAACAGCGAGTGATACGCTATGCTGAGAAGGAAAACAGGAATAGGGAATGCTGCATATGCACAATTTGGCAGAGCCAATGTTAACGTAGAAACTTAAACTTTTGGTATTTGCTGATACTTGAGGGGTTTATTTCTCAGCTTTAACAATAAGTATTGCTGCTTTTCCCCTACCACACAGATTGTAAATAAATGCCAAATTTTGAAGAGCAGCTCCAGAAAAGAAAGTGCAGTTCATGACAAGTTACGTTTCTATGTAACACTTAGGAAATGCCAAATCCTTAAAAATATTTGAGGAACTTATTTAAAGATGCTGGTGGAATCAGCTAGTCCTCCCTTGTCACTTAAGCTCTTTTAGAGCTTCTAATCCAGGCTGCTTTAGTAGCCTAGCTGTCATGAGACGAAGGTGAGCTCGAAGCTGCCTGCTCCTGTTTCATTTAGTGTCAGAGTAAGGAATGTAAGCCTGCTTTCTCACCTGAGATTGCTTTAGTGACCATTCAGCTTCATAAGGTCCTGTGTCCAGATTCTTTTTCCTACCTATCTGTTACTGCTGGAATCAGGTAAAGTTAAGGCATTTTTTACCCTCGTGACATTATTTAGGAAAACAAGTATTATTACAGCTCTCCAGTTGCAATGCTAATGTTCTGAGCACCAGAGCACTGCATGCAACACAGCAGCTGTTACATATTCAAGGGTGAAATTCCAATAATAGTATGCTATATAATCTCTGAATAAATATTTATGCTTGTGAAGGTTAAGTGACTTGGAGTACTATAAACTCCAGCCTTTTGGGCAGGCCACTGCAATTTAAGCTTTCTTGCAGTGACCTACCAATGACCTCTCTCCCAGTCTAGCAGCAGAGTGATTGCTGGAGGGAAAAATTCAAAGTGGATCCTGAGGCCTCTGCTGAGCAATAACGCAGCACATAAAACACATCAGATGTTATATGAACCCAACTACTCATCTCAGAACCACTTCTCATCTCTAACATTGCTTAAATTTCCTTGAAACTTCTCCCAGTGTAACTTCATTCACAAACCCTGCATGATGTTGTCTCAATGTTGGTGTAAGAGGGTGAAAGCCTCTTGAAGATGACAAGCACCATATCACAAGCTGGATTTTTGATGTTTTATTCATGTGATGGATGGGAAGCGCATAGTTGTCCTTTTCTAAGGTTGTGATGTGGTTAACTTGCTTCAGAAATGTAAGTGAAACAACAGGCCAGACTTCTACTAAAACAGTTGTACCAGTTAGGTCCCATTAGCTATTAGGATCTGAAGTTCAGGACCTTTCGGCACTCATGGAGCAAAAAAACCAAAACCCAAACCAGGCAAAGCTGTAGTCTTAGTGAACTCAGCAGAGTTGGGATTCGCTCCAACCATTTAACCTGAGTGTGTTTTCAAAAAGTTGTATAATCCCTCATTTGCTTCCTAAGCTACATTCCAGAGGGATAACAGATACAGCCTTATTCCTTTTTCTCCATCTCACTAGTGCCATTATTTCCTACCTAAAAGCAGAGAACAGAACTCCATTCAATACAGCTGATGGGTTCCTTTACAGTCCTGCCTCTTGATAGTGCGTTAGGAATGACCCCATCCATGCTAGACAGAAGAGCAAGCCGCGATGATGTGTCTCATTTTAATCCAAGCTGAGGGGAAGTATTTCACTTGCTGCTTTGAAGCACTGGAATGGTATTTAGACTCTTTGTCTTCTACTGAGAAAACAGAATGCACCCTTGGCCTTTCAAGGGTGAAAGGTCCTAAATCAGGGCTGTGTTGACTTAGTTCTACTTGCCCAAAGGAAACATATCACCAAAACCATGTCTTGAAGTAGCTTTCCTAAAAAAGGCTGATTTATTTCTATGCCATCCCATCATGGTTGGTAGCTGTTGTCAATACTTGCTGTTATCTTTGGAGCAAGAACATTATCAGCAGGTTTATGGCTTACTAATGCCATATTGAGGATTGTTTATTTTCTCTGGCAGTTGATATCTAAAAGAATGGCTTTAGGACAACAATATACATTTCAGTCTGAGGAACTCATTAATAATACTTTAATCCACAGGAGTCTTAGGTTTTATTTTGCTTTACTCTGCACTGGGAAATTTTTTTTCTTGACTTGTCCTCTCTGAACTTGCCGAGCACGAGCTCCAAATCCCAGAGACTGCATGGATTCTGTTAAGTATTTCTGGTCAGGAGAGATGCACAGCATGACCAACAGTTTAGCATCACCTCCTAAAAGCAGGAAAAAGACAAAACATATTTATTTACCTCATTATTTTCAGTAAGTTATACACTGGTAATGTATTGATCTACACAACAACGAGCATAGGCTACCATTGCTTTTATGAAGCAGAAGACTGTACATGAAGATGGCTGTTGAAAACAGACAGCTCCTTCAAGGGAAGTCTATATCTAACAATAAGGTATTTGCCCCAGTGGAATAAATGTTTCATGATTTGTAATGTAGATTTTTCCCCCCTTATAGCTTCACCAGTTAGTCTGCATGTATGTTATGGGTCTGGGCACTTCAATAAGCTTTGTCAAATGTTTGTAAATTCGGGGTAATGGCAAAATGGCTTATTTGTGTGACAATAAAGCAAAACAGACTTCTTAGAAGTTCACAGAGAATGATTAAACAAACAAGGAAATTGCCACTTTCAACACTTCACCTAAACAGTGTCACCCAAGTCATACACCAGGCATGGTTAAAACCAAGCTCAGTGCCCATACAACATAGCTCCTAAACTCACTTTCTTTGGCTTTGCCTTTTCACAGTGGGGACTCCAGCACTAGGTAAAACTCAAAGTTCAAGGAAAAATTAATAGTCTTTCAGAAGCTCTGAAGAACTGTTACCTCAGTCACTGTCAATGCCTTGAAGTGGAGACTAAAGGGCTGATGCTTTCTGGCTGAAGAAAAATGGACTAATATACTATATGGTTGGACAGAAATCTGACATTACTGCAGGAATTACACTTGCTTTAAAACTATTTCTGCACAGATGTGGAGCTAGAGAAGAGGTGATGACCCAAACACAAAAAGGAGTTGTAGCACAGTACCATGCATATGTTCTGTCTCCCTCCTTTGTCTTACTGCTACAGGGCACAATGTTAAGGAACGTGCAAATATGTCACTACACCCTATAGGAATAAAGATCGAAGCTTAACTTGTAAACTGTACCTGACTTGAAACACCAGTGAAATGCAATTATTATCCTTTACACGATACTATTAGAGATGTTGTGATTATTCCAACTGTATTCCTAAACTGAACCTTGGAAAGAGTAAGGTTTAGCCAAATTCAGGAGGAGTTCAGAACTCTCACTGTGTACTCACACTGCTCCAAAGCCAGAGTCTTTGAATTGAGGCCCACATACAAGGGAGGAGTACGAGATCATCCTCTAGTTTTACACAACAAAGGAGGGGAAAGATTGAGAAAAGAAATCTATGCTGTTAAACAAAAGTCAGAATAATCCCTCACCTACGGAGTCCTGAAGCAGATGCGTAAGTTTGCTGTTTCGATATGGTACATGAGATCGCTGTTCTGCTATTGCCCCAAGAACGTCTGCTAGGGCAGACAAGCTGCGGTTAATAAATGATGTCTCTCTCAGTGCTGCACCTGTCACTCCAGACATACCTAGTACAGTGTAGAAAAAGGCAATGGTAAGACTAAGCAAAGCTGCTTCAATTGTAATTGTGAAAAATTCTGTTGCTGTATCATCTACTTTTGACGCAGTGTTTTTGAACACAAATTCTGAACCATGACTTCTAGTCCACCTATGCCAAAAGCAAGATGTAGTGATTGTTTACTCCCGGCTGCCAATGCATTGTTCAGTATTTTATATTCAGGAATATTTCATATTCCTCTTTGAAGGAAGGTTAAAGAAGGTTCAGTGCCTGCAGATGGTCTTAAGTATCTCACGTTAAAGTTGATCTCTTCAGCTGTACAATGCATCTTGGCTCCGTATGTATTATGGAACTGATAAAGTAGGAACACCATAAGATCAGACAAGACAACGCTGCTTTTGAAAACATCAGTCCACAGTGTCTCCAGAGAGAACCCTGTTGTGTTCCACCATTTTTTATAATAGTTAACTGCCCCGTCTGTATCCCTTAGGAAGAACAGGAGTGACGCTGATGGCATAAGCTGCAAAAACAAAACTGTACAGCAGCTGTAAGTGTGAGGAGTTTTTGTTCACCAAAGTCTGTAAGGTGCTGTTCTTCGTGGTATGATTTGCTGTAAGGAAATCGATACAGGAAAACGATGCCCTTCTACCGTCCACCCAGCATGGTGGTACATAGCTATGCTGCCCTTGAGCAACACTGGAAAGGTTTGGTCTACAAATCAAGTTGCACCAATTTCAAGAGGTACTGCAAGCTCAACTCTATGATCAGTCTTGATGAGCGTGCAGTTAAGAGTAATTAATTCCTCCAAGAGTAATTAATTCCTCCTGTCCTTACCTCTGCCATTTGGGAAAGAGAAACTTGCTATTACCATTTAGCATCACATTATTCAAATTCAACCTTTCTTCAGGATAGTGGGTGAGCTACAGATGGAACTGCAGTCAGTTCTCATTACCCAGAGCACATGATCCATGCTAGGCAGAGCTAATGGTAGTGGGATGGTCAGAACGGGCTAACAGTTTCCTCAGCTGCTTTCTGTCCCACCTCTAGAGAAACAAAGAGGCTAGGGATCTTGTTTTCCCTTTAGGCCAGTATTTTCCCAACTGGGAGAAAAAGAGAGGTGTTCAAGAGGCAAGTGTGAAAAAGCACAGGAACAGAAAAAAAAACAACCCAGAAGTCTGGACAGTGAGGGCTGGAGAAATGTGACTCTGGGAGAGGATGGGGCTGGAATGGTAGAGTCCCTTTGCAGAGAGGCACAGAGCAAAACAGTTTGGAAGACCCTCCCGCAGTGTGTCAATAATCCGAGATAGGATGTATCTCAGACTAACTTTACTGGGGTCTGTGTCTACAGCCATCCCCAGGCTTCTTTTATAGTCGGTGAAGGTGGACTCCTGAGACAATGGATATCACCCTAAAGCAGAAAACTGCAAATAGGTGAGGCGGTAACATGGTTAAACTGCTGATTATCTACATTTGGTCAGATGAACTTCCACAAAGCATTAGCCGAGTTTTCAAACTGAAACCTAGTTTGCTAAACAAGGACTGCTTAGTAAATGCTGTAAATGATCCAGGATGGCTGTGGAGCTAACAAGGCAGGGAGCTGATCTACATTTAAAGTGTGAGAGATGCCTGCTACTGCTGCGCACTTAGATTTGTCCACATTTTAAAACAATTACAAGTTAACAGCTGCCCTCACTTTTATCAGAGTAAGTCCAACATCTTCAAATCTCCACCAGTGTAGCTGATGGCAGAGGTTAGTCTGACGTGTGTGCTGGGCCACATCTAACACTGATGTAAGTGAGCACAGTTCTGGGCTTCACTGGAGGATCTGGCCCACTGAGCCCCAAACCAGGTAAATGTTTGTCCTGGTTGAACTGAGGGAACAAACACACACGCTGTTGCTCAATTACATGTTTACTAAACAGTTTCCAGCACTTAGAGCAAATGAAAAAAATAATGTATTATACTAGGTTTCTCTGTAGAACAAGAGTTTAACAGTGAGCAACAGCAAGAATTCTTGGCAGTAAAGTAAAAGACTCTTTCATAATACTGGTTCAGTTTTCAAAACATTATTTCTGGAATGGTACATTTGGCTGCATGGCTTTTCTTGGTAAGAAAGCTTGTCCTTTAGGAAATAATCAAGTTTTTGAAATTATTGTGTGCACAGAGGAGAGGGGAGGAGGAAAATACTTTGAAGAAACAATGAAAACAATATTATCTTTTCAACGCTAACTTCCTCCAAGACTTTTTCCACAATAAGGCGGAAAAACCCACACATGGTGATATGAATTATTACAGATATTAGTAATATTTAAATAATTTATGCATTTTAAACATTTCTGTACAAAGACATGCTAATTTTCAGAGTAGGAAAACAGGCCTAATAAAACCAGTCTGAACAAATATACCTATGATATGGGTAACCGCCCTGGGCTTATTTTAGGCTTATGCAGTGAGATTTTCAGTTAAACTGTACCAGTGTAAAACTGGAACAATCAGGCCCACAAATTTGTGGGTTTAAACCATCCCCTGTGTGAAAGCAGGGTAGCACATATCCCTACATAAAGAGGTAAAGGCAACTATTGTAACCTAGATCTGGGAGGATCCATGCCCATAAACAGACGCGTTTGCTTACCGACGCACTCGCTACCAGCCAGATCCACCAGCTGCAATCTAGTTTTCACTTGCTTCAGTTTCTCAGAGGCTTCAAGTTGTGCCGGTGAAGAGGCTCTGGAAGAAGAGGTGGATTTATTGTCTCTCATTTTTTGCGGAAAGGTGCAGGAAACCTCTTTATTTAGTCTCTGACTGGTTTGTTCATCTTCCCATGAAGTACCTGGTTAATGGAAAAAACAAACAAGGGGAGCTTCTCGCTGACACTGGAAATTGAGATGGGGAAAAATGGGGCATCAATAGCAGAAGTACAGTATCTGCTGGTTTAGGCTATTCTAGCAGAAGCAATATACGAGTCAGAATCAATGGCACGGGCAGGCTGAATGACTTTTTCTATCTTATCTAAGGTTTTGTTCATCAAACCGATCATACCAGTTGGTAACAAAGCTTGGGTGTAGGTTCTCTTGTATCTAATATCCTCGCTGTTCACACTTGAATGTGGAAAACAAGAAACAGGAGTCCAGCAAGGACTTTAAAGGGCATTTTTTAATGTTTTAGATTGACTGAAACCAAAGTGAGATTTCGAATGTTTGGGAGCAGTAAGCTCTGAAGTCTGTTTCTATGTATTTGAAACATCACCTGCTGGTGCTCTGGCAAAAAAACCAAGTTCATCCTGCCTCTTCTATTTTGTTCTTTGCTGCTGTTCCCTCTAGACTTCCTTCAGCCCTCATATGCCACTGCTGCATCTCCACATGATGAGCTATTAGCTTCAACAGCATTACTCCCACTTGTTGAGGTTGGTTACCTACTACTCCTGGTAGTTCTGTAGCTGCATTAGACTGCTTCATATCCTTCCTCTTCCTCAGCAGCAGCATCTGGCTTTCACGCTCTGCTGGGAAGGAAGACGAAGACAGATTCTCTGGGAAAGCTGCTTTGACATTAGCTTAGCAGGAGTATATGCAAAAGGGCTTTCCTAAAGCAGTTTTGCTTTTTTTCCTTCAGTGTTTTGCTTTTCATCCTCTCCCTCTCTGAAAGACATAAAAGAATAAAAGGCACACGCTCTGCTACAGGTAATAGAGACAACAGACTCTCTTGGTGACTTAAAGAGTCTTGTTGCAATAGTACAAAGTTCCCAGCTGCAAAACTTGAGTAAGGAACAGACTGAATTGGGTTGCAGCGCTCTGTACCTCTCCAGCTAGGCTGTTGCTAAAACCCGAGCTAGCTGTCCACAGTGTAGACGGAGCAGCTGTTTTGGTTTACACAAAATAAATGGCTTCAGGCCATACAGTGTAAAAATAAGTGTTCTCACTCCTCTTCAGTTTGAGACAAGGCAATTAAGAAACTGCTCTCCTCAAACAACAGATATTACTGAAACAAAATGCTAAAAGACCTTAATCAAACCTGAAAAAGTGCTGGCTTGTCAACCCTGGCTTTAGGTGCAGAACTCATCACAGACTTTACAACTTTTTATTTAGTGACTTACATCTTTGGTGTTGAGATATTTGACAATTGCACCTAGCTTTTAAATCAGGAGTTTCTCCTTTTAAACAAGACAGAATGCGCTGTCACACTGCTATAGTGAGGTCCCATTTGCAGTGCTGCTCTGCCCCCCCATATTGCACATCTTCATCCATGCGCTATGAGCTGAGAGCCTGAGTCTGCATTCAACACAAATCAGACATTTCTATGGAGCTTTGCTGCCAGACAACACGGCGTAGTAGGGTGACCGCAATTCCAAATGACAAAGGGAAGTCTTGAGTAGACCGGATGGCTGGTGCGCTAACGGTGCACACACTGTGTTTTGAAAAGTAACATCTGTCTGATGGACAAGAATCTGGAACTGGCTAGAGCTCACATCTGGAAAGCTGGAGCTGCAACTTGTGAAGTAACTGTGTCTTTTGGCAAGGCCCATAGGTAAGCGAGGGCACTGTTTGTTCTGTTTTGCTAATATTGTCGGTTTAATTTCTGATAGCAATCTAAGGGAAAAAATGTTAAATATTTTCCACTTTCTAAAACCATATTGTTGTTGCAGAGTATGAAGGAGATGGACCACAGCACTGGAAGCAGAGAGCCTAATTACAACATGAGCAAAAGAAAACAAAGTTAACCCCCAGAAGCTGAAGTTATTCCTAAAGCAATAAACTGGTAAGTCTTGGTGTGGTAATGAAAAGGAGAAATACAGGTTTTGCCATAGTAAATAAGACAACTATGTTGTCTGTTCCTACAGTGGCCTATTATTAACAGTTCAAGAGACTCTGAATTTAATGGATGTTTTTGCAAGGCAGTGGGTAAAAAAATAATTCTTTCTCACCAAAAAACAAAGCATATGATGATCCCTAAAACACATGGTTAGCTTTACCACAAACTTAGCATGAATATGGTATGTCATATGAAGTGATTTAACTATTGTATTTGAGTATCTATGTTACTGATATCTTTTCTATCTTATCTTACACCTTACCTTATGACTTACTGATAAAATTTATTTCATTAGTTGTTTCATGCTGAAGTTATTCCTAAAGCAATAAACTGGTAAGTCTTGGTGTGGTAATGAAAAGGAGAAATACAGGTTTTGCCATAGTAAATAAGACAACTATGTTGTCTGTTCCTACAGTGGCCTATTATTAACAGTTCAAGAGACTCTGAATTTAATGGATGTTTTTGCAAGGCAGCGGGTAAAAAAATAATTACCAAAAACCAAAAAACAAAGCATATGATGATCCCTAAAACACATGGTACCACAAACTACAAACTTAGCATGAATATGGTATGTCATATGAAGTGATTTAACTATTGTATTTGAGTATCTATGTTACTGATATCTTTTCTATCTTATCTTACACCTTACCTTATGACTTACTGATAAAATTTATTTCATTAGTTGTTTCATGCTATAAAACTTCAAGAACTCTAAGTCAAGACATGTAAAGAAAATTGAAAAGTTGTTATGAAAGTGAAAGTTTCAGTAGCATTTAGACATCAAACTGGTCTGTTATTTAAGAACGTATGCAGAAGTTAAACAGTGGAAAAGAACTGAGGGAATGTATTAAACATGGGAAAAAAGAGGAAAAAACAATCTGAAAATCTCTCGGTCCACAGACTGCAAAACAACTGGCTCTAGATGTATTTTAGTAACATCCTACTTACCAAAGTTATCTCCAGAGACGATTGTGGTTATGGTCAAGGTAACTACCAGATGAGAACGAGAGGAATGAGCATGCACCAGTGTTGGGTGCCTGACTCTCAGCTGTAGGCCTTTGTTGACTAGATGCAAAAATTCAGATGCATTTTCAACAGTCCTAGGAAGTAAAGAAACAAGCAGAAGATTTAACTGACTCACAGTAAAAATCACATGAGAAAGCTGACAACTTAGATGTCAATCTGAGCATTTCCACTTCCTCACTCTTCTAACTTCTTATAGTAATCTCAGTTTTCAGCTGCACAGACAACTGTATATAGACTTGTTCAGGTGGGATATAGTCCAAGATGCAAATTCAAGACAAAAGCTGTGATGTAGTACTGAAAGTGCTGAAGAAGTGGCCCGTCAGCCTTGCAGGTCTATAGGTGCTGTAGCTCAGCTCTAGAAGTGACTGAAATTTCTACACCTCCACACTTTGGAAGAAAAGACAGATTTAGACATTCCTAGAATCTCTGGTCTTACAGAAGTGGAGTTGTCCAGTTCATGTTAAGGTAGCTCCTGTTCTTTGGGAGGTACAGAATTAGGGCAAAAAAAGAAATTTCTCTGGGCCTTTGAAAATCGTATTTCACATTTGGAATTAAATCCAGAATCCTTGGGAAAAAAGTTCAATTCCACTGTTCAATGAGCAGGGACTCCAGCACAGTGTCAGAATAGACAGGCATAAGTTTCTGTAGACCATTTTATCTCGGACTATCTGTTTTCTTTTCCAGTTAAAGGAAATACTGCAAATATGACCAATTGAAGGGCAAAAACCTAACACAGAAAGTGAAATAAACTGATTAGGTAAAGAAAAAGACCACTGTGATTTCCCCCAGGTTTGCGATGCTTAAAACAAATGAGGTAAGATTGCCTACCCTTTCCTTTCACTGCATTGCCTTCTTCAATAATCACTCAAGTTACATCACCTAAACATTAGTTTCTAGATGGGGGTATAAATTATTATGACTGCATATCACAGCCTGGTTACTGAATGCCCTGTAATACTAGAAGCATTAATAACTCTCCTGACAGGCTACAGGCTTGGTTCCACATGGCTGCAGTCAGCAAAAGCAAGCATGTGATAAAAGGCAAGGCCTGACTTAGATTTGGCCGATTTCAGGGCACAAACTTATTTTATGCTAGAAGAGCCATACTTGAAGAGTTCAGAGACAAAAGAGCTATACCCGGCTAAAACAATTTCCTCTGAAAATAAAGCAAGGGCATCTTAAGAACAGAAAACCACTATGCTTACAGACACTTAAGAGAAGCAGCCACTTAAAGGCAGTTCCCTGTGTAACCAGGGCTGCAGGAGCTAAATGATCACTATAGACTTCGCCGATCAATCCTGAGCCGCACGTGCTGGCCTCCCCTGTAATATCTCTGCCTCTGTGCATCCACTGGTAGTGTCTCCCTGGTTGTTTGACCTGGCACCAGCAGGGAAGCAGTGGCTCTAGTTCCTACTGTCAGAGAAAGCAGAGCCTCACACTGGGGTGATCCGACTATTGCCTCAAGTCCAAGGAGGCAGATCTTGCCTTCCTGAGTTTTGAACTGCATCTTCCAATAGCTAGCCAGCCAGGACTGGACGGCCTGAGAGGTAAGCAGCCTTCGCTAGGATGTAGCAACAGGCAATCAGCTTCTGCAAGCTGCTGCTGTGCACTGGCAAGGGGTCAGTGCTACAAGCTGCTGTCCTCTAACTAGCAGAAGGAGATAGGCCTCAGGGTATGCTGTCAGTGCTGGTCACCTACTGGGAAACTGCAGTTGACTTTGGAGGTAAAAAGCATCCCCAGTCCGGTGCTGCAAGCTTGGCACAGTAGCTTCTCAGCAGGACTGACAGTAATAATTTTTTAGTATAATCTCTACGACTTTATCATGCTGTATGTACCGCATGTTCCAGGACCAGATTCTACAGAATCTTCTACAGAGAAGCCCTGTTGTGGTTAGGTTAAAAATTTGATGCTGAATGTTCTCCAAAGTCAACCAAGCCATAAAAGAAGAAAGAGACTGAGGTTTTTGTGATTCAGTAAGACGTACATGTTAGCAGGAAAGAGACTACTGTACTTTAATGGATATATGGAGAAGCCAATGAGACCCAGCAGGCCAATACATTCTAGATGAAATATTATCACAAACGAGGATGTGTTTTTATTCAAAGCACCAGCTGTTTACTTTAGATTTCGGGCAGCTGGGTGGCCTCATTCAATGGTTCCCTTACTTTGTTTGGGTTTGCTTTTTCTTATTAACCTTTATGTGTAATTATTAATATAACCTGTTTATGAATTGGACTTTTTTCGCTGCTTGCATTGTAATTGAGATACAAGTCCATATTCTTATTTATATTTGCATTAGAATTGAGTATTTATCAATTGATTGAGATAATTGGTTTTTAAGAGGTGCTTAGTTCAAGGCACCAGGTTCCTTTACCATAAATTAAAATTTACAGAAACAAACAGAGCAGCCATTTTATTAACTAGAAGGACAAATGAAACCTTATTGCAGCCTTTAGTTCTTGCCTCTATGGCACAAGTCCAGCAACATCTCACCTCTCCCTTCCCCAAAGCCTAGGAAAAGAGATGGGTCACCCACTAACTATGCAAAGCTCCCTTGGGAAGGGGAGTAGGCATTTTTCAGGAATGAAACCAGGCCAGCCTCTTGGTTACTGAAATACCATAATCAAAAATTACTTGGAGGTTCTGATGAAGCAAGAAAAATTTAACTCCCATCATACCCACACTATATGCACCCATCTTCATTTTCTAAGTCATATAGTTCCTTTCTTCTCTAGTCAAAGGAAAAAGATTAGCTCCTTCAAGAAAGATTCAGCACACATAGGTTAGGCTCCACTCCCAACCTCTTCTGAAGGAGTTTTTCATTCCCTTGACAGCAGAGCCTTAACCAGATGCTGAAAGTTGGAGTAGAGTCACAGTTGGGGAAATCCAAGAACAGAGACTGAGAGAAACCCACCAGTCAGCATAATGCAGACAGAGAGGGCAAAAGGATTCATCACGTCAAGCTCCAGTCATTTCTAATTCATTCCATGCTCTGATGGAGCATGCAGAGTGCAATCAAGGATGCAGAATTTCTCTGGAAATCATATTTAACCTTAAGACTGAAGAGCAGGCATACCCCAAAGCCAAATGTTAATCCTTTCTAGAATACTGCAGTGATTATTATTTCACAGAAAGAAAGGAAAGTTATATAGCCCCCATGATGAAGAAAGTCACTTTACAATTTCTCTGGGCTCCCACTTTTCTATGAACAGTTCAATGGCTAGAAAATACAAGCCAATAAATGCGTATAACTAGGTAGAATAAAAGTATGTTTGTGCAACTCTCCAGTACATTCTTGTATTTTTATCAAGGCTTTCTGGCAATAGCATCAATCCACATAAACAAACAACTACTAGTCTGCTTATGTGACTAAGTCCCACAAAACAAAAATACTGCCTTGAATTATTTCCACTGAGGGTGCATTTTATTTTAATTGGCGGGGGTGGGGGGGAGAGGGATGCTTTTCATATCTGACTTCTAATTCCTCCTGGAAAAGTAGAGATTAGACCATGACAAGCATTATTATAAAGAATTGAAGAAAAACATCATGTTTCCCCCAGAAATGTAAAACACTATAATACTGTGATACACTTCAATAGGGCAAGATGTTTCTTTTCACAAACATTATTTGGCCAGGGAGCAGAACATTTTTTCTAAGTTTCTAGACTTCTCTGTAGCGCACAAGCAGAAATGTTCACTTCTAGAATCTGTTCACATGCTGGGTGCTCACAGGGAGACGTCCAGTAGTGTAATTCCACTGGGTAGCACCACTGCTCTGGTGCCATGTGTGGGTGTGCTCCCCCCCACAAGCCCCGCGTAAGCAGTGACCACCCGTGGGGGTCGTGATGGCTGCATCCAGCTTATGCTGGGCTTTGGGGACGGATGGCAACACAGTAGCCAAGGGCTGTCTGAAGCAGTGACCCAAACGTCTTGCTGGTACGCAAAAATGACTTACTCTATAAATAGTGGACAGCCCAGGGCCTGTTGAGCTCTCCTGCGTGGCAGCAGGCTGCGTGGCGGGGCCTCCCCTTGAGTAGGGACGCCTCTGAAGGTTACTCCTCAAGGTTGAGAGATTCCTTGCCGCAACAGATCCTCAGTAAGTGACTAATAGCATGCTAAACTTTGAAATCTTAGCTAAGTGATATAAAGGATTAATTGCGCGCATATAATCCTTTAGACATAAACTGTTGACCAAGTCTGGGACTAGGATTGGATCCAGCCGCACCTGGACTCCTCTCTGAGGAGGAGTTTAGAAAGCAAGGGGGCCCTTTCTGAACCTCGTGACTCAACGGGAGGGTCTCCCTGACAGTTTTGTCTGACCCTGTCCTCTATGCAGTAAATAATCAAGTGTACCTTGCCATCGAGTCTTGTTAAACCACTGTTGCATTTACCATTGAACTTTGTTAACTCACTGTTTTCTATCAATGAAGTGTATTGTTGCTTCTTTCTTACAAGTGAAGTGCAGTCTTGCTCCATCCACAACATGCCACTAGTACTGCTTGTCATATTTTTTTTTGCTCATGTTGATTTACAACTAGCATAAACAACACAGCCATTACTAAAATGAAGCATCCGAAACAGATTCACTCTTGTTAATGGATGAATTGTTATGAACATGTGATTTTTACCATCTAGTTAGCCAAGGTGTTTAACATAACAAGAAAGTATTATACATTTGCTTTGTATACTATACATACGTAACACCAAGAATCATTCCCATGTGTACTAGAACAAGCCTTTGTAATGCTTAGTAAGTACAAGAAGGCATTAAAATAAGTATAGCTGTAGCCTTAAACATCTTAGTTCTCCCTAAACCATCAAGATGTGTAAGTAAGAATCAAACTTACCATATACCAACGCTGGGAAGGTATACGTCTTAAAACTGAATGGGTAGAAGCTTAGCTGCTACTTAGCTTTTAGTTTGAAGAACCTGGATTTTCAAGAACTATGGGTTCAAATGCCAGCATATCAATTCCCACTTTAATGCCTCCAGTTATGAAAACAGAATACTAAGCAGTGCAAGATGGGTATTTATATTAAAAGATAACTTAAAATCTTACTCTTTCTAACGTACTTTTTTTTAACTTCAACGTGTGTAGGGAAAGCTAACACTCTACAGCTGCTTAAAAATCTACAAGAAGTACATACGTTTCTGTTATAACCTGTAAATTTTATAATTTGGTAAGACTGAAGGGAAAGCGCTTTGTGACTGGGTTACCCCTTTTTTTACATCTGACAAGATGCTCTAGATCCAGCAACAATGAAATACACAGCTATCTTCGGGCGTTCTGAGTGGAACATGCCTAACGCAGGAGTATAACCCGAACTAATTGTACTGTTATTTCTGAAAGTATTTCGACATTTGCCGCCAACTGCAGTCTAATACACTGAGCTCATGGAAACAGTGAGAACTGTTCTTTTGCATATGGTTAGGACTCATTGTTTAGAAGCGATAACTGGTGCCTATAATGCAATTTCGTGACAGCTATACATTGCATTGACACCAGATCATGGTCGGATGATAAGGATCAAATCGTGTACTTACTCATGCGTAAGCAATGGAACATCGCTCTTTCCTTCTCTGGTTGTGACAACATCGCGTTTGACACCAAATACTCTTCCACAACTGTCTTTGGCCAGAAGATCAAAAATTTCATTATTATACACTTCTACAACAGAAACCTCAACCCAGTAACTTCCTGGTGGCTTTTCTGAAATAAGCCTGGAGAATAAAAATAGGAAAAAAAAAAAAAGAAAAAAGCCAAAAAAGTTGAAGTCAAACCCCAAGTGAACAATCTGTAAATAAAGTTCTATTCTTTAATTGTAATCTAATTACAATCTGATAAAAGTGCTTATTAACTATCCGCAGCTGTGGTTTTGCCTCATCCACATGCTAATGTTAAGCTGAAGAATCAGAATACAGTTAAATTATACGTGAAGCAGTAAATAAAACTTGATTTTCCAAACAGCTGTGCCAGCTTAAACTGTTTTTCTGCATTAGCCTCCCTCCCTCCTCAAGATTCTTTTACACCATTTCTCTGCTGGATGTTAATTGCATTCAGAGCTCAAGATATGATAAACTCTGGCAGAGTGCAAGCAATGAATAGGCAGAGATGGTAAACTGCCCAGCTAGATCTGTAAGAGGTTATCTGTCCACAGCCTCAGAAAATTCATAAATTAAGGGCTTGTCTATTCAGGAGAGTATTTACAGTTAGACACAGTTATTCTGTTACAAAATTGGATCTTTGATTTATCTTATACCATTCTCCAAAAGAAATATGCTTAGCTGGAAAAACCTCTAATGGCTCTTCCATTATAACATAGCAGCGCATCAGTTCAAATCATGCATTCAACTAAAAAAATCTGAGAATTCTCAAAGCAAGAACAGATTGTGGTTAAAAATTCTACTACCATTCTTCTTGGGGACTGAGTTCTAATCTGGATCCTCTTCATCTACTCCAATTGCCAATTTTCACAAAACTTGTAAGAACTTAATTATCTTTTGGACTCCCACAACTATGGTTGAAACATATTCAAAAGTTAATTAGGAGTCTGAAAGACAGATGGACAGATAACAGACAGCAAGACTGCATAATCTTATTTTCTTAGAAAACCAGACTAAGCAGGAGAGAGACTAGAAATCTGTATCAAAAGTCAAATATAAAATGGCAGTTAGAGAAGCTGTAAATCTTAATCATTGTGAAGCTGAAATCTGTAATGATAAATACATTACAAACATTATTTCATCCTTTCTATAAAGTTTAAGGTCACTGCCACTGAGACGAGCCTTTACTTAGTTTTTACCTGAACACTTCTTGGGTAGCTCGAGGAATAATTCCAAGTTCTGATTCATCTTCTATGGAGAATGCAAAGTTCTCCCCTAACTGTGGTCCCAACATTGTGTATGTCTTCCCACTTCCAGTTTGCCCATAAGCCATGATACACACATTGTACCTGAAAATTAAAAGGGCCTTCATTTATTTTACCATTACCAAATGTGTTTGTAAAGTGGCAAGTCAAACCCCAAACAATTTGGGAACACAAACTGAAACAAAAAAAAATTCACTGCCCCTGCAGATTTCTTTCTGGAGATTGCAAAATCTGACAGAAATCAAAGTACTGCTCTCATAACATCGCCTAAACAGATTTTATTTTTTAAGCAGAGTTGAAGGGTTGCTTTTAAGCAGAGTTTAAGGGATGCTTAGCTTGGAATGACTGATGAGGTTACACCTCCTGTCTGCCCAACTTCCAGTTCACGCACTACTGAGCTGCTTGTTAATCAGCTCCTGAACCACTGCATTTTACAGTACAGCATTTTAAAGTAAACCATGGCTGGGTTTGATTTGTCTTGCAGTACTATGCTGCAAACCACAGCACTAGTATCTTAACAGCTGGGAACAGTAAACTCTTCAGCTCTTGTAGTCTTTTTCAGGCAGGCTCATCAGTCACAGCCCTCAGTCACTGGAAAGATAAGACAGACCTAATAATAAGAGGCACAAATTTTAAACCAAATGCATTAGTTCAGTATAAGCATGCACACAAAGACTACTCTGGAATAAAGGTGGTAGGAACTGCTCTGGTATGGACTTGTATAAGGTGAAAATGTACAATGTCACTGCAGAGGTACAGGCACCTATGAAACACAACTCATCATCTTCTGAAGTAGACATGTAAAATACATCTAATGAACAGAACTCTGAAAATGCCTGTTTCTCTGCACTGAAAATAATAATAAAAAAAAAAAAAGTCCACAGCTGTGAGCTCTGCTGTGGATGTCTGCCCCGCAGATCTGAATTTTGAAACACAACTCATCATCTTCTGAAGTAGACATGTAAAATACATCTAATGAACAGAACTCTGAAAATGCCTGTTTCTCTGCACTGAAAATAATAATAAAAAAAAAAAAGTCCACAGCTGTGAGCTCTGCTGTGGATGTCTGCCCCGCAGGGATCTGAATTTAGATGTATGAATCCTATCCAGAAAGTGTGTTTCTAACACAGTCGGCTCAAAGTCAACATCTTAAGCAAAACAAGTGGGCAGATACAAATGTATCCAGCCACCGTACTACTTTGTATTGAGGACCAGTGCTGTACCGTGCAGCTGAAGGTTAGTCCCGGCTCCGCCGCGTCTGCTCTGCAGCACCTGCCAGCACCTCACTGTTGCGCACAGAACTGTGCCAGCAAAAACTCTTGGAAGACATGCAGTTACGCTGACAGGACTGCTCCTTCCCTGGATTATCTTGTTTGTTCAGACACACAACATTAGCAGAACCTCCATACATGGCGAGTGCTTTGCAGTATGCTGAAATTTCTGCTCTACTAGCGAGTTGCAAGAATGGGCTTGCTCCTGTTCTGCCAGGGAATACAATTTCACTGCCTAAGCTATACCTCCTCCGTGGGCAGACCTGAACAGCTGCTTTTGGTTATCCGATGCTTCTCCTCATATCAAAAATGTTTCAAGCACATGCCAGCAGCTTCAATGAAGACCCCTCATCTACTTGTTTTAAATTTATGGTTTCAAGTAATGAAATACTTACATGGCCATTGCAGAGAAATATATTTGCAGCAATTTTTTGCATATTAAACATGCCTGGAAGCAATTCTTTTTGGAGGATTATTTAGAAAGCTTTCTCCTGTTAGAAAGAAATGTGGGCTGATAAGTAACACAGCAAATACCTGGGTACCCCTTCTGGGGATGCAAAGTCAAAGTTGCAGTCAGTGAACCTATAGTAAGTTCCCTCCACGTTTCAGGGTGCAGAGTATAAAATAGAAGTCTAGTCATAGATTTGATGAAGTAAAGTAGATAACTATAACTGAAAATAAAGAGCACTACAGCAAAATGAAATGTGCTAGAAATTAGGGCTGTAAATCTGAAACAAGGGATTTTTGTAAGTATTCACTGCTGGCATAATTCTACTTGCATTTATGTCAGTGGAAAAGCTCCCACTAATTTTGGTAGTTTTCAGCTAGGCTAACAATGAGCAATTTTCACAATTCTACCCCTAACGCACACTGCCTCACCAACCTGTAGCTTACTGAGACTTCTAGCCCCGCTGCAAAATCAGAGAGATCTTTGGAACCAAAAAGGGAGCCAGAAGTTTGCAAGTAGTAGCTTTCCTTAGGAAAATCAGAATGGAAGTCTTTTTAGAAGTCCCTCAAACTTTCATATAGTCTAGCTATTCAAATTTTCCTTAATTGCTACTTGTTAGAAAGTAAGCATCATGGACAAAATAGTTCTGACAACATACAGGTGATATGATTGGAAGCTAAGCAGACAGGTGCTTGTAGCATTGAAGATAGAGATGCAAATCAGGTATCAATTAGTGATAACTTCTCTGCCAAAGCCAAAACAGTATTTCAGTAAGCCCAAATGAGCTCAAACTATCCAAAGCAGTATTATATCTAAGTCGGCACAGGAGAGAGTGAATTGTTGGGTGATTCAACAAAAGGACAAGCAGCAGACTAGTTTATATTTACCTAGTTTACTTCATTGGTGTTCTGGTTCCAACATAAGAGTTTCCAACTCTAGTTCCAACAATAGAGCAATCTGAAAATTTCAGACTACGATTCACCTATGTGCCCTGACATTTCTCCTTCTCCACTCTGCTTCATTGGTAATATTCTTGTTTCAAAAAGTTCTTATTGTCAAGCTAGAATACCAATAGTTTTGTAGTATATCTCTCCTGAAAAGAGTGCGGGTGTTCAGTATAGCAAAGCTATCACTAGGAGAGAACACTGTTAAAGGAAATCAAAGGAGGAGAAATGTATTCTTTAAAATAAATAAACAAGCTTGATTCTTCAATGCTGTAAAGAAAAGAAATGTTATCTTACTCCCTTGCTGGCCCTGTATGGCTAACTGTAGACTTTGAAGCCTGCTGTACTTTGTCTGTTTTGCATATGGGACAATCTTTTCTTCCTGTATATTTATACTGAAAAATGAAACAATTCATTAAGAAAGAAAAATAAAGAAAAAATAAAGGGGTGGAGCACTCCTTTCTACTTAAGCTAAAAGTTGTTACAGACGACTTTGGAGCCCAGACTAAAACAACCAGGAGCAGCAAAAAGCTTCAACGTTCAGACCAAGTATGTCTGTTTCCCATTTACAATGGGAAGGCTGCTGAGAAACATGGCTCATACGCACAGCCTCGCCTTCCCTGAAAATCTGCTTCTGTTTAAATGGCACTTCTGGAAGGACAAGACAACTCTCTTGTTTTCAATAACAGAACATTTCCTAGCTGAATATAAAAATCCTAGCATTTAGGACAGGATTCTCTCAATGTGGAAATTAGAAAGTGGGAAGTACAGCAGATCAAGGTACAGATCAGATATGTCTGAAGATACACAGGCAACATATTGAGCCAAAACAAACTTACGTTCATTGCAAAAGGAAAAGCAGAGAGAGAAAACAGTGGTTATAAGGACTTCTTCAAATTCCTCCAACCCAGTGGTCCCTAGGTTGCCCAGCTATGGCAACTGTGGTTACTCATCCTTGGTAATCTGGAATAATGCCATACGGGCCATATAGGACTTCCCTTACCCCAGGTAGCCCTTGTGGGCCCCTCTGTGGCATGTGTAAAGGGACGGCTGGGATTTCCCAATATCCACAATATCCTGATATGCCTCTTCTAGGCTGCTTTTAAGAAAAGGAGACCTGGAAACTTCAGTGTGCAGACTGCCAGGAACAAGGATTGCCACTGTTCAACTATACCACTGCGGATGGAAAGAGACTGGCTTTCCCTCTACAGGGAGGGAAAGGTCCATGACAGCTCTATGACCACCATCTATAATTGAGTGGAATTGGAGCGGGGGTGAGAAAGGAGCAGAAGGGAAGTTTTGTATGAATCTCAGTTCAAGCCTCAAGGATTATAACAATATGCACTTCAAGGCTTCTTCGCAAGAGTAGCTTAAGTTGGCTCTAGTATAAAAGAAGAATCACACTTCATGAACTTCAGTGGCTAGAAGTAATTACACATATTTGTTAGTGGTTGTTACTGATCAGTTTTGTATTCAAACCAGAATTCTGTTTTAACCCCAGTGCCTGAAGGAGCGTTAGAACTACGACTGAGGATGCTCAGTTCTGGTTCAACCAGGAATTGATTGTATCACCTTCTATGGCCTGTGCTGTACACCAAAACAGAACAGATGATCAGAGAGTGTTCTCTCTAGCCTGGCAGGCCTTTTATATATGAAAACACTGTTGGAAAAGATGTATCATACTGTGTCTACAACTGAAAAACAATTCTAAAACATAACCTACCAAAACACAAAAAAAGATAGTATCCTCCATTAGAAGCAATGCTTAAGTTTGCCAGAAAGAGACCAGAGAAAAAAACCTAGTTTTTTTTCCTAAATTTGTCTGCTCTGCTAAATTTTGTCAACAGTGTTTTCACTGTTTATATGGGGAAACAACATTCACTTGGTGTTGAGTAGAAACAAAACAGGAAAATGCAACTGCAAAGCCACAAAATTTGACAGGACCGCCACTATTAAGTCTTTTTTTTTTAATTGATGGATTTCAGTAGATTATTGCCCTTTGGCTTTCTTACTCCCACCTTTTAACTTACCCATCCAGGAGAGATGTTAGCAAAGGGGCCACATCCGCAAATACTGTGTCTTGAGACTCCAAAGCATTATAAACTCTGAGGAGCAAAGTGCAACGATTAACTGAAGAAAAAATATAAACATGTTGTCGCAATACAAGAATACAAACTAGGGAAAATGTAGGCCAGTGACATAAAACTTGTGACCTGCCGACATTTCTATGTCAGGGGACTGAAAATTAGAACTCCAAGGTTCTCACACACTTTTTGGGAGCGGCTGCTGTCTGTGCTGGAGGGAACGACCCGCAGGCGTACGCTTGTGGCTCTCTGAGCTCATCCTAATCCTTCTGCCTGCCTCTCTGGCAGATGGAGTCTTTTTTCAGGCTGTACTAGATCTCTGTTACTTTTTCCCACCTACCAGACTGTGAAATATCCCTGCTGCCTGTGTCTCCTTTGTGTCACACTAAGGAAGGAAGTGGTCAGGTTGTGCTTCCCTTTAGATGTGGATAAGGTTTGGCAAAAAACAAAAGAGGTACAGAGGCTGCAAACTTGCCTCAGGATTTGTCTCAGAAGAGTCAGTGGCAGAGCAGAAATCAGAAAGCCCCTGAGGGTCATGTTTAAGGATGCAATGTCTTTGTGGGCAGCATCAGCCTAAGGTATTTCCATCCCCACCCTTGCTGAACTATCTGCTCTGAAATAAACACTTCTCACTCGAGGGAAGGCTTTCTTTTATATTGTCATGTGGATTTCAGACTAATTTTTAAACAGAATGAAAGACAATTAAATTGAATGAGTTATTCCACCTCTTAGAAAAGAGCAATGACAGTACAATCCTTGTGCCAAAACAATGATGTCTAAAACAACTGCATAAATTTTTTCGAATTCAAGGGGGAAAAAAGCTAACACAGGGCTCTTCAAAGAATTTTTTCCTCCAACCCTTTCAACTATCAAGTTTGTACAACATACAATCAAGACCTGAAAATAGGAAATCATCAAAGGGAGGAAATTCTGATCGTAAAATGTGGACATCCCAACTCATTCATTTCTTCTCTAGCACACCAAAAACATATCCTCCCCAAGATTACAGCCTGCAGCAGCAAGTACTGTTTATACAAAATGAACAGAATCTAAAACATGAATGTCATTAGCCACACTTAAGTATTTGAGGTATGAATGTTTATCTTTGCAAAAAGCTTCCTTGTCTGATATCTTTCTGTTGTGATTTTTTTTTCTTGTTGTTTAGCTCTGTTTTCTAATGAGTCATGTTTGTTCTTTACAGCTTATAGCAAAACAACTAATTAGAAACAGGAATTTTGGTAACAGCAAACATAAAAAAGCACAGTTACTTCCCTGTGTATATAGTATACTAGTACACTTCACTTAGCAGTATTCCACAGCTTGTGTATGATACTGCAAGTTTAACTGAACTAAGACATAGTGTGTGTGCTCTTTAGCATTTACTCAAGCCTCTTTGTACATTTGACCAGGATCTGGCCAGTACCATCTATAGCCTGTACAAATGTAGATTATGTATTCATGTTCTCCATAAATAAGACTGTACAGAGGGATCACTGATAAACAGATACAGAATTAGAGCCAACCCACTTAGTTCAGCATTTTGTTCCTGACAATAGCCAGAGGAAGGAGCAAGAAACACTATGGCGGCTGAAGACACAATAATTCATCTCTGTGTCTCATCCTAATCCTTAAACTGTAAACTGGCCTCAAAACTGAAATATGAGTTGAATCTCTGTTTCAAAAAAAAAATTATTAGAATTAGTATTCAGTTTCTTTTTGCATCTTGCTGAATTCTTGGCCTGGAGTAACATCCTGTGGCAATGTGTTCCACAGTCTAATTGTAAGTTGCATGAAAATGTACTCTCTTTAATCAGGAAAGGAGCACTTGTCTGGCTTGATGGACAAATACTGCTTGTCTTGCCATTCCACTGATGTGCTGTCATACTACACTGAGAAACCAACAAATATGCAGAGATGTGGCACAATTTGTACTGGGAGGACACAGACACTGAATAGCAATACTCCATCCTTGCTTTCCATGCATACACGCATATGCTTCAGTAAACTTTGCACATCAAATCTGTAAGGTCAATATAAGAGAGCAAAAGCACTTCCAAACACTTTTCTCTGCTTCATTTGTCCTCTGCAATCAATGAAATACTCATTAGCACCAAGTCCTCCATCTTAACCAACTAGGCTTCTAACTCAATATGTGTTGAAATTATATTTTTTTCTTAACACATCAAAACATCCCAGAGCTACTACACAAAACCCCCAAACTTAAAAAGGTGGTTTAGAGATGAGAACAGTCATACTGTCTTCACTTGCTGTTGATGGGTTTTGCTGTCTAAGAAAGCAAATAGATTGCTACCGACCACAACCAGGGCTAGAATCAACCAGTCTTAGTAGCCTGTTTGCACTGCAAAGTAGTATAGCCATAGCTAACTATGTCAGGTTCAGGTTCTGGTAGCCATTCAGAGGAAAGGCATGGGGCTCCACGTTACAGTAACTACTCCAAATATTTACTCAACTTCCTAAAGCCACTACTTAGCTGCTGTAGTTCAAATGCTACCAGTACCCAAAGTAGTTTAAAGTTGGCTTGGACTAGTTTATGCTACACTGTATTCACAGCACTGGCTGAAGCATGGACACCCACTTAATTAGCTATCTGAGACCATGAAAGATGCAGCAAATCCAGAGAATCTCTTTCTATAAGCCCATGTATTTTTACCAGAGTGATGACAGATTTGTCCCTGTGTAGCAATTAATGTTAATTTCACCTTGAAAATTCTGAGCTTCTTTTTTATTTTGCTAACTGATTCGCCAATAAAATTATAAAAGCATAACATGCTGAAAGCTGGAATTTTCTTCCTGAGCTGAAATCAAATATTTTGCCATTTATTAGTTCCATAAAACTTTGCTAAAAAAATAAACATTTTTGAGTTCATAAGAACCATATGCTCTTCTGTTTATAAAAAAGAGCTGTGCTAGGACACTGAAAAAACATTCCCCAAGAACTGCATTCTTTGGGGGATTTACATTTTTTTAACCCTTTTCCTGATTATCAGGATCTACACCACATGTCCAGAGTCACAGCACCTCTGCAGTCCTGTGTCAATACCATTAACTGTCTTGCTCTACAGAGTTGAATTCCAGCATTATTCTGCGTTTACTTCAACTGGTACGGCTGTGTTAGGTGTAGCTTGAGGGTGAAAGGAATTACTTTGAGTAGCTTAGCAGACATGCAAGGGGGCCATGTACCTTGAGAGATC